CCCAACCCCTTTTCGACAAAATGTAAAGAAGATGGAGTTCCCGACAACTCAACCAACTGCTCTGTCTTTGTGTCTCCCCAGTGACTGCAAGCAGCATCTGTCCCCACGCGCCGCTCGACCCAGCTCAGCCAGACATCAGCGGAGAGGACAGGTTCTCAGACACCAGCCTCACCGTAAACCGTTTACTTCCTGGAGAGGGATACAACTAAAGGAGATTACTGAAACATAGCAGTCTGTGGGACGCGTCTGTGTGCGGGTGATGTTTGGGTTTTTCTGTGTGTGTTAAACCAACCCCATCTAACACATCGTGAAAGTGTGTTGAGGTGTTTCAAACACAAACCTAACACGGATTGTGTGGGTGTTTGTCTTTAACCCTAACCTCACACGCGAGTGTATGGGTGTGTGTGAAGCTAACCTTAACCCAACAGGTAAAGACAAGTGTTTTCATTGGTGTTTGGGCGTCTAGCTAACCCTGATCCAAGAGTTATTTTAAACCCAACTAAGTTAAAGATTCGACTTTCTACGAATCCACAAAGTTTCCATGTGAAGGAATGTTGTACTAAAACCATTGGCAGTTGACATGAATTCAAAGCAGACTTATCAAAATCCATTTTGTCGTTAATTTAGATCGTACTATTTGTCTTCATATTATGACATTACCACGAAGTCAGCTTTGATTTTCTCTTACTGCTGTTCTGGATTGGGTCATCATTTGCCCTCATGAGGATAAAGTCCAAAAATAATAAGCCGCCATAATCCATGTCAGTAGAAGCCCATGGGCCAACTGTTTCACAATGTGGATAACTTGCAACTGTCCTAGATTCACTACAACATATGCCAGTAAAGCATTGTATCAGAGCTCATTCTTACACGGACAACCAATGCCTGGGAAATCTGAGACTGGCCTGATTCTTACGTGAGCCACGACTGGATGAGAACTTCAAACCACCAACAAGGAGGTACTCAGAATATCCTTGGTCATCTATGTTGATTATTTACTGAACCTTAATCGAAATGAAGGAGAGAAGAGATTCTCATTACTGAGGGCTGTAGAGAAACAATTTCTCCTGTACTACATAGGGAACCACAGACAAGCTACACGGGGAGAGACAGAATGGGTCGGAAAGAGAAGAAAAAGAAGAAAAAGTCGTCGTATAGCTGCGATGACGCGGAACAACAGACGCCTTGCTCGATCCCCATGGTGGAGAAAAAAAACTCGTTCGCCAGCCTGGACCCACGGCCTAACTGTACAGTGGTCACCCTCCCTGCCCGACCTAGCCAGGCCTTACTTCCGCAAAAACAGAGCCCGGAAAGTCTGGACGAGTGCGCACATCCGGTGGTCTCCGGAACTGGCGCTGTGGCGACCTGCTTCTTTCTCATTGGTCTGCTCATGTTCTTAGTGGCCTTCGGCTCCCACGATTGGCTGGGGTTGGAGAAAGGACTAACCATTAGCTTGTGGCGGCGGTGTGTTAGAAACTATGACCTGAATGTCTGGGGCTGCAAGCCTTGGAAAACGGTGCCTGGTAAGTGACTACTACTACTACTACTACTACTACTACTACTACTACTACTACTACTACTAC